CCTCCTGCTGAAATGAAACACCACACAGAAAGAGTTTCAATTTTCCTACTATATAACTCTGCCATTAAAGTTGTTTAAAGCAAACTACACGACAAATGTTTGCAATGCAATTGCTTTCCTTGCACTGTAAATCTAGTTGTGAAAAATCTAACTGTTGTAGAATGACACATACTACTGCACATACATTAAATACTATAAACACTTCAGTGTTGAGTTTTGCTCAATAATTACCACAAAAAATCCAAAAGATTACTGCTTACCATTTCATCTGCCAGAATGCCATTAACACCGTTTTCATACAATGAGATCATCCAGTTCAAACCTCTAACCTGATAATCTCTTAGTGTTCCTCCTTTCACATCTGTAAATGTAAGATTCCTCTAAGTAGAAAATTTTAATTGCAGTCTGCTCAGTTTTTAATTACATCAAAGCAATCAGAGAACTGTCGATACAACACTTACATGAAGGAGACTCCTCAAATCGAATACACACATTAGATGTTTTTCGACTCTCTGACAACAGCTCTTCGTCTTCTTCTTGTTCTGTGCGCCTGTGACGGTAACTAAAGAAAGAACCCAAGATTCACATTTGCGATGAAGTAACTTCAAAACACTGACTATAAAATCAAAAGAAAAACTGTAACAGCAACAATCGTTGATCTACCATGGCTGTGTTCTAGTACCCCGATCAAAATCACATCTTGGTAAGTTACTCCGTATGGTTCATTCCAGCTTTGGAGAGGCTGCTATGAAGCCCTCTCCTCAAAAGCCATAACTGTACTCTGACAACTATCATGAGTTCTCTAAGGTACTTTTTTAACGAGCAACACAGAAGTACAAGACACACATCTGTGGTGGCCTTAGAACTCATTACTTGGTAACTGTATCGTTCAGAAGAATCACATGTTCAATTAAAAAAAAGAAAATTTATAAAATAGAAATTTTGTAAACGTTCCAAAACCTGGCTGCTTGCTATTACAAGACCCCTCAGAAACACTGCGTGCAGCCTATGCCTGCATTACTAATACGGACAGAGTGGTGAAGTGAGAACTGGTGCTGAGGATCCAACACTGACACTACATGCACCTTGTCTTGTTTTAACTTGTTCGAGCTCCACTCCGGTCCCACTGACTGACAGGTCCACTAAGAGCTGGAGCCATCAGGTGCATTTCTGGAATGCATCTTCTAGTTTACTGTCATGCGAAAGAAATTCAATTCGTGTGCTCCAAAATCAATCCCCGGTAAGGAGCAAAGCAGAGTCACTGGCCAGAATCAGGAAATTTACTTTAGAAGTGTATTCCTGAACCAAGGTCATACTAACCCTGATGGATCGGCATGCATACACCAACCAGCTTTTAAAGAGATTATGATACCCTATTAATAGGAAAAGTTCTACACTTACTTAAAGCACAATTTCTATGCTACTAACTAAATAGATACATTAAAATGCATCATTTGTTTGAAAGCCTAACAAGTTGGAAATAAAAATAAAACCTACTCCCCAGCTGAAATCAAACTCTGTTTTTCATCTTTCTTCATCCGTGGCCGTCCCAGCTTGACTTTCAACGGAGATGTTGGTGATTTTTGTGCTGCAGGCTGAATAAAATGCGCAAAAAGTTCTGTCTGCTTCAGGAGGAATTCAAACCTTTTTGCTCGATCTGTTTTCTATTTTCCAAAGCAGGGAGATAATTTAAAGAAAAAAAAAAGAAAAAGAAAAGAAAAATCAGTAACTTCTCCTCATTTAAAAAAAAGTATTTGTTAAGAAACAGAATTCAGACACTCACAAGAACAACTCAAATAAGGAAAGACTGGCAAGACCATCTGCCTACCGTGAGCCAACTCAGAGGGCTACAAGCATCAGCTCTGGAGCTGCTTCAGCTTACAACTAAGTGTGAACTGCTTGAGAGCACCCAATTGTGAAGTGTGGTAGTACAAATGAACCTTCATGAATACCACAGCAATGTGGAAGACATGGCAGGACTTCACAACGTGAAGCCACAGGTCCCCATTCAAAACTCAAAGATTAGAAAAACAACCCCAAAACAGTTTACTTGTATAGACCGCTTAAGTCTGCAGCCAAACCAGCAACTGTGAAGGGATGCTTTAAAGGACTGTCTACAAAAGGTTAAAAAAAAAACAACCAAAACTAAGATTCTGACTTACATTAAGGGATGAAACCCTACCCTTGCTCAAGTCAGTGGAAAAACTACCATCAGCTTCAAGGCTGTAGGGATTTCATGAAGAACAATGTGGTAGGTCTGCTTTCAGAAGTCTGACTACAGTAATGGGTGCACCAGCTCAATATTGCTTTCACTGAAGTTTGTGAATTTTGGTGTCAGAGTTCAAACTTCAATCATTTCAGTTTTGTCATATCAATGAGGCAGAGGTACTTTGCTATATAAACACAGAAAAACATATGTCCCTCTATATAGTTAAAAGATAATGTCACATTATTTTTAAGAAAACTATGATAAAATGCAAATGCTATCTGACAGAACGCAATTGTTAACAGCTTCTCTATGCCATTTCTAAGCATCATGTAACACTGCACCACTTAAAGCAATGTTCACATGATCTCATCTATGTATCTTGATGTAAACAACAAACTGAAACTGCAGTTCTGTACCATAACCTTTCTAAGAAATAGGCAAACAACAGAAAGCTTTTCTGCAGGTAACTTACACGCAATTAAAAGTGCTCTAACAACAAGAACACAAACCAAAGAGAAACACAGTAAAAATGAACCTGACGTGCAATGCATAATATCGCCACATGAGGGCAATGCATCTCTTTTAATGAATTTTAATAGCGCACCACTTACCAGCAAATAAACATTCAATAACAAATATCTCCTGGGTAAAAAACACCATTATTTTTCACCTTGCATTCACTACTGGACCATTTGTGTAAATAACTTGAACACCAAATAAACTGTAAATATCACTGTAAATATCAAGTGAAAATTTTAGGGGAAAAAAAAACTCAAAAAGAGGGAATAATGATGTGGATGTTTATGTTCATACAGCATAAAAACAAATCCTTTGAGAGGATTTATATTAAACTAATAACACATAATGGTTTTGGCAAGCCAACCATAACTGGTAAGATTCTATACTGAATCCCACAATAGACTTTTTTGTCTGCATAATAATTGGCTGTGTGTAAGCAGCATTCCCTGATAAACAGTAACGGTCTCGCTTACAACCAGATCTTTCACAGAAGGTGGATTTTGAGACCCATTCTCTCTGCCTCTTAGAACAACTGAACTAACATTCTCATTTAGGAAAAATGTAAATTCATAATGTATTACTGTGAAACCAAGTTTAGTTATTTACTCAACTCACTCTCAACTAATAGAGTTACTTGTGTGTCTTCTCTTTGGTAAAAATATTCATACATGTACGTATAAATTTTTCTATGTCTAACAGTGATACTTTACCCTGGATTAATGGTATCCAATCCTTTCAGACTCTACTGTAATTATCAGGCATCCATTTAACATTAAAGCTTTTAACAAAAATACAGCAAGAAAAATACAGCAAGATACCAACTTCAACCAAGAACTTATTACATGTAACATTCAAGAATAAATCTTGTCCTCTCGGTTTCTGCCTCTTCGTAATACAGACGTTACCAGGTTATGTTTCCTCTCCAACACTATAAGTTCTCTTCATTCTTTTCCACAAACAGATCCTCTTTGGCATTGTTATGGCACATACATTATGGGGCATATCAACATTTTAAACCTTTATGTTTTTAAATCAATCTTGATTTGTTTTTCTCTTCTGAAACATCCAGTCTGCAATAACTTACAGGGAGTTGATCAAGCAAACAAGTGTCAAAAAGCTGCAGTATGTTTTGACATGAAAACACTTACCATCTTCTCTTCATATTCTGGGTCAACTTCTTTATCAGGTCTAGCTGCCTTCGGAGGAAGTTTGAGTTGAAATGGGGGATCATTCTTCTGAAATGCAAATTTTAAACACTTTTTAAAGCATCAGCCTACTATACATAAAATACATTAAAATGAAAAAATAATTAGTCTAAACCGTTCAGGGTCAAGAAGCAAAACCAGACGAAACGGGACTAAATATGTAAAAGTCTGTCAAGCAACATTAGACTTACGTTTCAGAACTGTTCCTGATAAACACACGTCAACTTACTCTTTTACTTGAAGCACAATCATGCAAATGGGAGGAATATTTTCTGAAGTCAGAAATCACCTTTTCAAGTTTCGGCCCAAAAGCCTACCTCTCTGCAAAGGGGAACAGTACCAAGTGTATAATCCAGCTGTTTGAGAACTTAATGATTTTATAAATGCATGAGTTTGGCTTTGCAAGGCCAAATGATTATGTTGCAAATACCACCAGAAACACTCTATTCACTTACAGCTTTCTCAGTCATACAGGTAATCAGCTCATCTCAGAAAGCAATGTTAGGAGGGGACTGTTGCACCAACATGCAAAAGAGCAGGTCATATATAAGTGTATATTCACACTGCCATGATATTACTGTATAACACACACTCCAGTGAGAAAACTGTCAGTGCTCACATCAGGCCCAATCCTTGTCACTAAAGTGACAAATTAATCACAGAATCACAGAATCACAGA